CCCCCCCGGGAATTAAGTCACACACAAAATGAAGCCAAAGAAAAGCATTAAAAATAAATTGATTAATTTAGGGTATTTTTTGGGTAAAAAAAACAACAGCACTTCTCTCAGTTCAATAACCGTTATAAATTTATCCACTGGATAAGATTTATCCGTCGACAGCGTTTTCCAACTAGGTCCTGCCGTTTAGTTTATTTTCTAGCCCTTTTCAATTATTAGTCTTTTCGAAAAAATATTGGATCTTTCGGCAGTATTGAAGACCTAAACAATCAATACACTATTCGGTATTACTCAATGGGCTTTTGACCGTGAACCATTCAGTTGATCTATAATTGCTTCATCCAGCAATTGCAGTTGCAGTGCTACTTACAATTGATGGTTTTCATATCCGCCATGTTGGATGAATTAAACACAAGATTCGTCATTAGTTTCTTTTGTTATATCATCCAACATGGCCGCCGTGTCTTTTGTAATTCCACTCCCTTGGAATGATTAAAAACCAGGAATAGTCGAATCACCTAATGAAATGGCAGAAATCAATCGATAATTCTTTTTAAACATGCCCGAAATACTTACGATTTGGTTTGGAACATTCTAACGAGCCTGGTATAATCTCAAAATTTCCAAGTTTGCCATCTTCTTTTATTGCCTTTTCAAGTGGAGCACAAGCATTGGCAGGGCTTATCCCACTTTTGAAAAAGACAATAAACGTGACATTGATGCTGCCATTCCTAAAATGGAATAGGAATTACTATTATTGCTATTTAAAGAAAGCATCGGCAAAATACTAAAACAAACATTTAACAAAATTACACATAGTTAGTATAGGAAATCGCACGATCTCGAGTACAATTAACGCTATAATTGTACCCCTCTCGACCAATCAGAGTCGAGTAATTTTGATGAGTGTACTATAAGCTAGTTAATAGCACACTTCATTACTTCCTGAAAATAATATACAGCTATAGTATAAATTATATTAAGCTGTCACCCATTAAGCGATCAACCTCTTTTTAGCGGTCAGTTGTCGGCGTCAAACAGTGTTTTTGCAGAAATTTATAGCTCTGTTGAGCTGCTAAACTCTGTTTACCAGTTCACAATTCCTCGAGACTGGTTGTTAAATGTTCTGCTGCAAAACATTGATGAAAGTTATGTTGCTTGCTTCATAAAAAAACCCGAAATGCGCTATGGGCGATGTGAATGCAATCTGCTAAAGAACGCACAATATGCGACACTCCTGCCCGAAAGTTTATGAATATTAGGCATACCTGAGTCGTATTACTGTTGTGCGTTCGAATTTTTGTTCAACTTCATAAGCACGTTCAATCTAAATAGGAAAAGTAATAGCATCGTAAAAAATAAAAAAAGAAAAGAAAAAAACAAAATAAAAAGAAAAGAAAAGAAAATGTTTCGGGCCTGTTAGAGAATTCCATAAATGTTAACGATTATATTTGGCTACAACCAAAAGTAACGACAAACAAACAACTCATTAGTCAAATCCTTTCTTCCGGCAGTCCTTGGCTATACTTGTACAGTGCAGTACGCTAATATAGCATATTTTGGAAATGAAATAAGATTTGCATTGTAGGATTCCTTCTTCAATTTCATTCAATATCTCTTTAACAATTACGAAGTTAAGTAAAACTCAATATTATGGATTAGGAATGAAATTGGCCGAACTTTCAAACCTGTGGGTGTTCCAGACTACTAGGCCGGTACGCAATGTTGCACCAAGGAAAGTTATAGCTAGGGAAAGTGGCGAAACTTTCGGTTCTATTTACATTATAACCAATCAGAGCTTAAAAGCTTGGATGAGATTTTACTTATGTCAATAATAATGATAAATAATTGCTTACCTCATTTTCGAAATCGTTTGCGAATTTTCTGAAAGATTCAGACGTATTATCCAACATATCTTTAGAAAAATCTCTGACAACTTTAAGAGATGTTGCCAAGTTATTAAGAACTGAAATGAGAAATAAAACATTGCCTTAAACATAATTCTGTTAGCAGGGCTTAAAGATAGAGTTAGTGAATGTGCATAGCATTACAAAACAGCTGGACAGCATCTTTGCGTGGGAGCTCAAGATAATTGATTTGATATATAAAAGCACTTCTGTGAAAACAATAGTTTACTTTTTCCCAAAGTTTTTTAAAGTTACAAAGCCCAAGTTTATCACCTTATTACCAGTTCACATTTAAAAAAGATAAAGTTCTGATTTTGCAAGAAATTGCAGGATAGGGTTCTCTTTTAGGATCATTCCAATCCGTATGATTTGAGAATACTGTCACTATGTTTTAGGGTGTTATTATTTATTAAGCACTTGCTTAAAAAATTCCACTGGCTTTTAGCAACTTATTATTGGACTGCTACTTTAGCATTTTCATGACTGCCCCTAGGTGAATATCATTGGTGGTCCAGGTAAACATAAGCCCAATAGGAAGGTAATGCCTTTAATCAGGGTAAATTACACACCGTGAAAAGATGAAAAACTGATGTTCAGATGCTAGTTCCTTCGTCGGAGTAAAAGAGCAATAATGTACTGTAGGATAGGATTTGGATATAATTCTTGTTTCCGGTATTTATATTTTTTCAATCACGTGACTTCTGGTTTTGTTATTCCCGATCCATAACATAATATTCCCTTCCCAGAATGGTTGCCAGGAAACAGTCGAATTTCTTCACGTCCATGTGAGACACAATCTCGACCAATAGAAATTGAGGAAAATTGAACTTTGACACTTGGTATATAATAATATTTATTACAACAATTAACCACAAATTTTATTGATGATAGATATCAATTCCATGTTATCCTCTACGGCAAGTCTAAGGCAAACAAGTGAGTCAGCTAAGCCTGCAACATCAAGTATTGCACCTGCCTGTTATTTCTAAAACTTTTCTCAAAAATATTAGCTTGACAGTGCAAGCAAATATGGAATTCTTTTTATTGCTTATAAATGTAGACTAAAACGATGAGTAGTTTAGGAGAAAAACTTACTTGGTGGATTGGTGGATGGCAGATTTGTTGGGTCCTTTGTTAGGATGCTAGATGATGTCAAACTTGTAGTTGATGGGACTGTGGTAAAAACTGTGAAAAGGAAATAACATTGATAAAAGGCACCAGAACCACATTGTTTGTTAATGCTTACAATGCAATTACAATGATATAGTGGATGAAAATTGAGACATATACAGTAAATAGGGTCATCAATTGAAAATAAATGACCAATAAAGTGTCTATTTTCAAAATTAGATCTTTTGAATGAAATTCATTATTTTTAAGCACATGATCAGGCATCCTTTAAATAGTAACAATCTTTTATCTAAACTAATAAACCTTGATTGCTTATTTTAAATTTATTTATTTATTATGCTTCAAACAAACCATTGATGATAACTAGACAGGTGATACTATCTACAGGATAGTCCCCCAATAAAATTACAAAAAACGTATATATAAATAAATAAATTCACCAAAACAAATAATAACATGTACTGCATGTAAACTATATAGAAAAAGATCCAATAAATAGCTCGTAAATAAAGAAAAATAACTAAGTCCTGCAATAGAGCAGCAGCATTTTGTTACCCAAGAATAGATGTTGTAGGTCTCAAAGGAGGACAAAAATATGTCATGATAATTAAATAGCAAGTAATCATTTAAGGGACGTTGGTGATGTAGATTGCCTGAGCTCTGAGGGCAAATCATTATTATTTACAATTGTTGTTCCATAATGGAAATGTTGAATGAAGAAAGAGGAAGCAAAGGTCTATGCATATAATCAGGATTTTAAAAAAACGTTTTGTATGACTTTCACTCTGGCAAACTTTGGGAAACCTCATAATCTGCTCACATATTGTATACTGCATCACCTATTGTTAAAAACATTGTCAGTCAGAGATCTGAAATGGGCGATCTGAGACTTAATGGAATTTTAATGCTTATGTTTTCTGGCTAAAATGTGAGAAATGACACATTCTGAACTCAAAGGTCACACTTCATATTCCAATGTAAAAGGAAACTACATTATTCAATGTTTTAATAATGAAATAATGCAAACGAATCAGGGTTCCCAGACATTTGGAAAATAAAAATTACCTGACTTTTCCCTGACTAAATAACAGATTTCACTGACCAATATGGCAACATAGGCAAGAATTGGCAAGCATGGGCCATATGCCTAACTTTTTCCAAGGCCCCTCTATTATCATATTGCACAGGATACCCAACATAATTAAACTGTCCGGCATAAATGATACTAAATACTTTAATATTTTTTCAATTTATTATTTGTAAAGATTTGTCAGTTTATTCAAAAATTGCAAACAGTAAAAGTATCAGACAGATACTCATGGTTAACTTTAAACAAAATTCCCTGACTTTTCCCTGACCCCTGGGAACCCTGGAATTAAATAAATAAAGAAACGAGTGATGAAAATGTTAGGAATAAGTAATTTGGCATGTTTGGTGACAAATTATGTTGGTGAATATAAGCTTCTGCAGGCCTATACTAATAAACTACCTCGTTTTGTGACAATCAGTGTTATAAATATGTAGTCGTACTGTCCCGAGGGTGTTCCTTTTGCAACGATCTCTGCCATGTACTGATTGGTGTCATGGATGTTCAGGTTTGTGATCTTGAACCAAGCCTGACCCTTTGTCAAATTACCAACAAAACTAACTCTTTCTGCGTAATCAGCATTAGGCGTTAACTTTTCAGAAGAAGTGTCTTTTGCTATCAGCACTAGTTTAAAACGACTAGTGTTACCATCTCGTATTCCCCATGACACGTCTAGTATACTTGTATTGGTGTTAAACATGAAGACTGCATCTTCTCCTTTTTCTCTCCTTAGGGTTTCAGAGCTAGCTGTATAACAGAAAACAATGACATGATAAATATAATAAAAAAAGACTTCCGAATTTTTGAGTGGAAGTGTCAAGTTTATGGAGTATGGCAAAAAAGCCATCATATAAGAGACAGCATAAAAGCAAAATATCATAACTTGAAATGTCTTTAATCTCTTATAGCTCTAAAACAGTCTAGTCTTTGATGTGTGCTACAGCCTCATCATCAAGCAAAAAATGAAAAAAATGCAACTACAAATAGAGAAGCAGACCATAAATGAATGCAAAGTTACAACAGAAGAAAGAAAGAAAACAACCTAGGAAGAAACAACTAATTTAAGAGTTTAGTGAGAATGGAATCATTCTGAGTAGTAAGGTTAGGCTTTATATGTCCCTAATGAATAGCATTTCATAAATAAGGCAGTTGAATTTATGTAGAAATTTATTTCTTGAATATGGAGAATTTTTTATCCAAAGTATCCAAGCTAATCCCTTCATGCTTCTCAATGATAAGTTTACCATAGCCAAATGCTTGTGTTCCCTAATTAATGCATCAATTGTTGAATGGTCGGCATGTAAAACTGACATATAATCAGATCTCTCTGATCACATTAATTTTACAGTAATCATAGACCAAGCATTTCTTATTAACAATATTCAGTTTTTTTTCCTTGGGTCTTAACTACAGCTGTATTGTTGAATATGACACCATCAATAAGCTGGCAGTCTGTATATTGATACCAATGTTTGAACTCAAAGATCTCAATTTCTGTCAGACCAAACCTGCTGAAGCTTGATCCTTAAGATGCATTGAGAGTCCTTGCTGAACATTGGTGTCAATAGAAGGAAAAACATTATTATCTAAACACTTGTGAAAGTTGACAAGATATATAATTAATCAAGTGTTAAATAAGCTCCAGCATACCAGCATATTGGGCAACCCAGTGCATACTCCAAAAGCATTGTTACATTTACTTTCTAAAAGCTCTGATAAAACTACAGTATTTTCCTTATACCTTTTTGGATATTGCCTAAGGTGGTTGTTGACATAATGGTGGTATTTCATTTTATCCATACCATGGGCCATAAAATAACTTATACTATGTTTACCATAATGCACCTGTCACTGAAAACCCCACCCCAGGGAGGTATGGGGCATAGTTGGGGAATTATTAGGGATTTGATCTATTGATTTGCCCGATGGGTTGGAGGATTACACATGTTTTACTACTTTGCCTGGCTTTTAGGGGTGGGGATTTGAATATTTTGGGCACTTCTTTTACCATGGGGGTGGGGGATTTGTCAATTTCGAAAGGTGAAGGACTGGGTTGGAGGATTCTTGGCAGAGCAACCATGTGCTTTTCTTCTTACAATTCCAAGATGGTGGCACAATATAAGCGAGTGAATACATTTTTTGGTATGTTTTATATATGAATATCTGAATTGAGAGCTCATCTGTCCTTTTGATATTGGTAAAGAATAAATTTAAAGTGGCACTTGGATGAAAACGCCCCAATTTTTGAAAGTCCGAATAATTGAAGTATTTGTGGATAATATGACTCAATTATGATTAAGTAAACCAGATTAGTGAACATTTTAGTCTGGGAGCCTCTTGCTATTGAGATATTTCAGTTCAAAAGCAGAAAGAACACTAGGGTTGAGTAAATAACCTCATTTACTCCAAATTTAGATGCTGAATAAAACTGAAAATTTTTATCCGCTACATTTTACTGTTAAGAAAGTATGTTGCTTGGCTACTATTGAGGCCATATACATGTAGATACGTTTAACTAAGTTTAAAGTCATTTCCAATTTTTATCCATTTTCATCCAAGTGCCCCTTTAAGAGATTGATCTTGTATTTTTTGCTTTGATGGCAGTCTTCCAATGTCAATATTTTTGCCTCAAACTTTTATGTTTTAAAGAGCTTTTGCTTTGGACTTCATATTTTTAATATAAAAGTTTGTCAACATTTAAAATGTGTAGCTTCTGTTCAGTTTCATTTTATAAAAAAATCAAAAAAATGATTAAAGAAAAATGATATATAAAAAAATCAAAAAAATGATTAAAGAAAAATGATAATAAAAAGAAAAGATATAGACAAATATAAACATAAAATAAAGAAATATTAATGCACTGGGTGATTGAAACAGTTGAGCGTACGAGACTTTTATGAGAGTATTATGGATATAATAATGTATCGTAGATAGATAGCAATGGTACAATAAATGATAAAGTACATCGTATAACGTATATTGAATTAAGAATAAAAGCGTTTCGAGTGAAGGCATCGTTACTAAACATGAGCTCATGCGTTCCTGTGGTGTGGTGGGGATTACAATAAAAATTGTAAAGAATGACAAAATAAGAAAGCTCTGGGGTAGTCGTTTGATTTACTAGCATTTATCATCAGGGGTTAAGACACAAGGCAGAGGTCAGTATTTTCGACCTACATGTTTCAAAACTTGTAGCGGCAGAAGATTAACCCTACCTAACGAAAGGATAGGGACACGCTATGTTGACCTGTGTGTATGTATTATATGTAGGAAGAATATACATAAGTAGCGTGTGTAAGAAATTAAACTAATATATAGGTATTAGTAAATTAGTTTCCCCCCATAGTGGGGGACTTTGTTCATGTTTGATAGGGGGTTTGAAATAAAAAACGTCCCCTGTATATGGTGCACTATCTTAGCTTTGCTTATGTCTAATGCCCCATATACTTCACTGGGGTGGGGGTTTCCAGTGACAGGTGCATACGTAACTAAGTTGAAACAAGGAAGTATAAAATCTGCATTGTTGGATAATAATACATGCAACAGCCCAAATATGTGAAGGAAAAAAGAATCCCCAATTTACCCGAAAATAGCGCCAAGTACCCGCTGTTTTACTGAATAACTTTTTACCAAAGTGAACAATTGACTGCAACGGCTAAATGGAGTCGGTGACCGACATTTTTTGTTGTTGGTGTTGTTGCTTATTTTGCTTCTATCTAGTGTCATGTCTAGTTTCAAAACAATCTGACTTGGTGATCTTTTGCCCACGATCGTCCTTCACAATAATGTCAGCAAATTGATATTAAGCTTACCTTGGCTAATCGTAATTGCTATGAGCATTACTACTTGAAAAAACGTGTTTGAAAGCATATCGTAACCCAGTTTCAGGTATGATCTTCTTTCATACATACATTTAAAATGCCAACTAAAACCAAAAACCTACAAGGCTATGTTTCCAGGGCCTTCTCTTCTCGAAACCGAGGAGACCTAGGTACGAGCCTCGCATTTTCGTTCCCAGACCTTTCTCAATAAGAAAACACCCTTCTTTTCCCATTTAGGTATGTAAGGCGAAGCAACTTTGTGAGGTGTTATATTCTTATTCCAGAGGTACATTATTTTCAGATGAAATACAATTAATTATTGTAATCGAGGAGAAGCAAAATGCGTTGTTTTTTACTGTTTCGGATAATACCGACAATGCTAAGCATACAGCTAGCATCATTCTTTAGTGATGTTCGCTTCGTTGGGGGTAAGCTGCCTTTGTCATACAAGTTAGTAAGCTTGTCTTTATTAATTATAGTTAACCCCGTTATAAAAATCAAATATATATTTCATAATTCTAATTTATATACTAAAATGTCTTTACAATAATGTGGTGTATTTTCTAAATAATAATCAACTACACTAAACCATGTGCTTTGATGCTCGTCTCTTTATTACACACATGCGCACTCGCACGCTTGCAAACCTAACAGGGGTGGGGTGGGTAAATCCACCAACACTACAAATAACATTCAGGTGATGCAAATTTCACAAAAACTCCTCCTAGTGTGTTGTACGTCTCTGAAGGAGGAACCGCGAAGTTTACTTGGGACTACCACGTCGATGACAGAGCAGGAGAGTTCCGTCCTTATTCACCAAAGTGGCTTTTTTACAAAGAAAGTGGGAGTACACCCGTTGATATTGCTTTCGATAATAAGTTCAACGACTGGAAATGGGAAATTGCAAGCACTTGTCCCCCTAGGTTGTTAAATCCTAAACGAGTCAGTAAAGAGTCCACTGCTACGCTGGTTATCTCTAATGTCACCRCTGCTGATAGTGGGATATATATTTGCTCTCTAGTTTTCAGGTTATCTCAACCGAAAGCAAACAACTCGAAACTCATCGTTACAGGTAAGGAAACATTTTGCTTTCTTTTTTTAGATACCTCAAAACAAGGGTCAATAATTTATATCTATTTATTACATCCATTTTGAAATCACAAACAAATCCTGCAATCTGATTGGTTCCCTGCAGCAGTGATTTCAGCATAAATTGCACGATTTTGAGCTCTAAATTGCACGATTTTGCACATCAACTGATATGAACCAATCACAAGAGAGACATGTCATTTTCTAGCCAATTATATCAAGGAATCCATCTGAGTGTTGAGCTCACCGCTTCTTGCGAAAAAAAAGAGCCACGGCTCAAAAAAAAATTTCTGAAGAACAATTTTACCGTCAAAAGTCGTAAAAAAGACTTTAAAAGCCGTAAAAAGGGCTTAAA